ACAATTCTCTCAGGGTCTGAATTACAGGCTGGAAACCTGACCTTAAAGGAACTATGGTCACTGCTCTTAGATGCTGAGCATTCAGATTCTTTGGTTTTGACAAAGTCATTTGGAGCATCTCTCCCTCCAGAACTTTACTTGCATTTTCAGCTGCATGAAACATCCCACAGGAAATAAGTGATTTGGATTAAACGCACTTCCAGTTCCAGGCACAAACCTAGGAACAAAAAAGAAGAACAGATTTGTGCAAAACCACCTATTTGAGTTTAAGAACCAGAATAAGACTCCACTCAAGTCATACTCATAGCTCAAACAAATAAGGGACAAGGAAAATAGGGATTCATATCCTGTAGGCCTGTTAATTTCAATATGGTCTTGCCATCCCACTTTTTAGGCAGAAAAATGATAGTTGCTCTTCCTTTTTTTCTAGCATCAACTTAATGCAAAGTAAAAATTATCAATCTAAGAATAGCTGTTCTTGTTTTGAATGCCAAAGAAATATAAGAAAAGGAAATCAAAACATATTTTTTAAAAGCATGAATTTTTATAAAAATCTCAAAATCAAAGGATGATTTCAGAATAAGAAACAAGAGGGGTTGGTTAAGAGTTACCAGCAAAAGGATGAATCTTTGCGAAGTCTAAGAACTCATGAGCAGAGCAGCCAAACAAAACTTTAGCAGCCCTATCAAAGCATATCACCATCATTACCTTTGTATCGGTTGCTATTGACAGCTGCCAAAAGACATCCACAAAAACTAAAAACTTAAAGGCCAAAAATTCCAGAATCCCATCTGCATTTCTCAGAAATACATACCCAGAAACAAACAGAACCCCCCCACGATCACTAATTTCCCCATTAAAATCCACTTTCCAGATGATCAATTACGACGTATAACAAAGAACTACCAAGGGGCACCATTTTCCCTATTTCCATTTACAAAAAGCAAGAAAATTTTTTCATGGAAACAAACAGAATAAAACGCAGTAACTCTACCCAAATTCGGGAAAATAAATAGTGTTTACTTACGAGAAGGCGGAACAAGTGTTGGTGGGAGGGGAAAGAGGCGGGGAACTTAGACTTGCAGGCAGTGCAGGATGAATTTGGGGGATGATCGGGGAGAGCCCTTTCGCAAAGCTTGCAGGCTTTGTAACAGAAGTTGGTGGAATCCATGGCTAGCACTGTGCATGTTACTGTTGACTTATCAGCCGCCATGATTTATTCCCCTTCCCTCCCTCTCTTCTTAAAAAAGCACTTATATTTTGAAATTTTCTAACTTAAAAGACAGACCCAGGTAGATCGCACCATAGATTTCTCCTCTTTTGTTCTCTGCAATAACAAACAACAAAAGAAGATGGATACAACGAATTGAAAGGTGGCAGGGGTACACTGAAGAAGAAAAGGGAGAATCGTTTCTTCAGTTCAGTTGTTAACCCCTCTGTCCAACCTTTTTCTCACATATCACGGATCAGCTTTTGTCAATGTTGCAAACTGGGTCGGTTGTCCACACCGATTCTGGCCCAATATAACCAATTAGCTTTGGGCTGAAAGCCTGATAATTCCTAATAAGAGACCGTGAAATGATGATCCACAATTTTAATTTAAGGTTTCTTCATCCTGGAAGCAATCTCTTATCACTGGAACTGTTGTTTGTCCATGGTTGCTCTTCGGATCCGTCGATGTTAGGTTGGATTTAAAATTTTCGTTGTAAGTTTCAAAATCACGATTTCTAACAAATAACAGCGAAATATGATCCAAGTTATCAACTTTACAATATCAGTTACTTCAGCTTTAGCTCAATAAATCTCTCATCACTTGAACTGTTCTGCTAAATTTCTTTCTTCTTTTATTGTTTTTGTTTGATTCTCTACTGGGTAGTTGTTTCTTTTTGGGTTTTAATGTCTCTGTGAAGATAATTTTGTTTTGGGTGTATCTCTAGGGGTAGCATTGATATTGGGTTGAAGAAAAGCCTCCATTGTAAATTGCTGCTGATGTTGGATTGTCAGATTGGTTCAAGTATTTTGCAACTCCCTAATGCTTGTATGTGCTAATTTTCAAATGATGATAATGGGTAGAACAAAAAGGAAAAAAAAGTTGAAATCTTTGTTCTACTCTATTGGTATATTGGTCAAGAATGATGCAAATAGTTGATGGGTTTTCTTGAGGGAATTAATCCCCTTTTGACACAAGCTAATATGGTTAAGCATTATCCAAGAATCTTGTTCTCTACTAAACTTATATAGATGTTATTTTATGTCTCTTTTAATTACAGGTTAGAACTTCTTATCAAGGAATTGTTAGTTGGAAACAAGAAGAGAGGAAGTTGAGATTCTATAGTAGTCAAATGGAGACTGACAGGTATCAAGCATCTGAACTCTGAAGTTTCCATTGCTCTTTTTCTATTAGTAAACTCAGTTTTTGACTCTTTAATGACGAATTAACCATCATTTGAAATGAAATCAATTACCTACTTGCTCGGAATTAAGAATTTTTTAAAATATGAAATGGTGAAATAAATTGTTCACTCTGTCTCAGATCTCTTACTTCCAAAGTTTTACCTGGTTATGTATTACTTTTGACGATGTTTATGTTGTGGCTGTTGTTTGTGTATGTCTCTGCATGCTCCTTTTACTGTAGCTTCCTTACAACACAAATGAGTAATATTGTTTCTTATGCTGTTAAAATATGCTATGCCAGGTTAAATTCTCCAAGCACCTCTGCAATTCCTTTTGAAGTTTTCAACCATCAACTGCAGTTCTCTCAGGTATGTCTTCACTCTTCTTTAGGATTTTTGATAGTTGCATGAACATTAACTGTCCCCTTAAAATTTGTAACCTTTGCTGTGATTTTAAACTAATTGTTGCTTTAGTTTAATATTTTAAAAGGCTTGAAATGTTCTCAGTCTTATGCCATGGCAATCTGCTTGATGCTGTTGCTGTATGATATTGCTACTAATGGATCTGAAGGTTGGAACTTGGAATCAAATTGAGATTTTTTTACTTTTATCTCATTTGCTTTTAGGAAGAATCATTCTCCTAATATTTCAAAGAAAGAAAATATGGTACAAAAGCGAATGCCATGGGAAAGAAGTTTCTCTGTATTTCTTTAAATGATTCACTGAAGAAGCCAAGAAATAAGTTTCAAAATCATGTCTTTTGTAGCTTATTTGTTCTGTGTGTTACCAAGCATTCCAAGATGCTTTTTTACAAGCATTATTTCTGCTGATACTTAATCTCTTGCTCTGTTTGAAATTTTCATGATGGTGGCAGGATCCCAATTCCAAGCACCTAGGAACTACAGTTTGGGACTCATCAATGGTGTTTGTCAAATATCTGGTATTGATTTTAACCTTTTTCACTCTCTGTAACTTGCCCCAGAACAGAATTATCACGGGCTCTGAAAGTATTTAAGATTTTATGTCTTGGTCTAATGAGTTTGCATAGGCAACTTTACATAGTTGGGAATATATTATATAGTCACACACACAGACACTATTTAGTTGCATACTGTGATGGTACAGCGCATTGAATGAATTAGTCCTTTGGATAGGCTACATTGGAGGAGAAATCAGTGGTTATAATTCTCTTCAAAAACTCATTTGGATAATATTCACAGGGCACTCCTTGATGTTATTTCCCTTTGTTATGCTACATTGTACATTCCTATCATCACCATAGCCACAGGTGCACAACACTAAATTTATTTCACTTTTCAGGAAAAGAATTGCAGAAAGGGAAGATTTTGCCCATCCAAACTTAAAGGAAAACGTGTCATTGAACTTGGAGCAGGTTGTGGAGTTGCAGGGTTTGGTCAGTTCAATTTTGCAGCACATTGGCTAGTACCTACATTTTATGCTTGAAGGGGGCCTTCTTCTCCCTTCCTTTATATGGTAGGGTACTGATTAGTCTAACCTGGATTCTTCTTCTTATTCTTTCCAGGAATGGCATTTCTAGGATGTAATGTTGTTTCAACAGACCAAGTTGAAGTGTTGCCATTGCTAATGAGAAATGTAGAACGTAATGTGTCAAGGATCATCCAGATGAACCACGATCCTGGTGTGTTTTGAAGTTACTTTAGTTTAGTTTCCAGAATGTCTGAGTTTTTCTCTCAAATCCCTTTCTCAGCTTCTGAGTTGGAAAAAATATTCTCTGAATTACATAGTTTGAATGCAGTATCAAATCTTGATTGTTCATTGCTATGAGCCTGTTACTGGTAATAAATCATATAACGGGTTACATAGAGGGTTATCCTTTGTGCTAACTAGTTACACAGTAGGAGATTTTTTTATTTTATTATTATTATTATTATTTTGATGATAAGAAAAAAAATTGGAGAAATTGAATGTTGTAATACTGATCTCATATCTGTTTTAGATTCGTTTGGATCAATCCAAGTAGCAGAGTTGGACTGGGGAAATGAAGATCATATAAGGGCTGTTGGTCCACCATTTGACTACATTATTGGTACTGATGTTGTAAGTTTCCTAAGCCATATATTTTCTCATGAAATGTAGGTAAACGGTGCATTTTGCTCACTTTTGATGTCAAGCCTTGAATTTGAAAAACCTGAAAAAGGAAAATATTGGGGGTGGGGGATACAAAGGCAGCAGGCTCTGAACAATCATAGACTATATAGGTTATTGAACCTGCTGCCATTCAATCATGGTTCTCATATTCACTTGCTGTTGCTTCATTTCTGGTTTAATGGTGATTCATGTAACATAATCCAGTAGTTGAGACAATTTCATTTTCAACAAAGCATCTAAAATCAAGCTTCTTTGTGCTTAAGGTTTATGCAGAGCATCTTTTGGAACCACTGTTGCAGACAATACTTGCATTATCTGGACCCAAAACCACAATCATGGTAAAATGCTTCTTCAAAAAGTCTTTTCCCTTGATCTTTTCTCTTTCTCATTCTCTTTAATTAGTGACATCAATATTCATACTCTTTTCTGCATTCTGTATAGATTGGCTATGAGATCCGTTCAACCAGTGTCCATGAGCAAATGCTTCAGATTTGGAAAAGATACTTTGAGGTGAAAACTGTCCCAAAGGCTAAGGTAAGCATCTTCTCACTTTTTGGTCAGAAAAAACAGCAGGCCTGGCCTTGAATGAATTTCCTCTCCCATTAGAATTGCTTTAACATATTTATCCCCACCTAGATGGATGGTCAGTACCAACACGCGAGTATTCAACTATACATCATGGGATTAAAGCCTTCAGTTGGTACCCTGTATACCACAGACGAGGCAAGTCAAGGCGTTGATCAGCAAGTAGATGATGTTAATGCAAGAGAAACAGAACCAGAAAAGGAAGAGGGTGAAGGAAGTGGTAACCCAATTGGTGAAGCTAGTAGTGAAATAGTAGGGGAAGATGGTCTGCAACTGACAAGACTCCCTCTTGGGAAGCTAAGTGACTGGGAGGCAAGAAGATATGGCTCGATGGCAGCTCGACTTCTTCAAGATATCAAGATAACCTAGCTCTTTTTTAGCTTCTTTGGTTGATGTTAGCTGTTTGTTGTTATGAATGCTAAAGAAAACAACATACGCTTGTTCTTGAAGAGTCTCTTAGAATTTATTTCAAGCTAAGGTACAGTGCATTTTTGTAATCCGAACCTTTTTTTCTTCATTTTGTGAGATCAGCCAAGATCCAAACAATTATCTTTACAAATTACAATTACATAGACTGTATTGCTGCAGTTTCAATTTGAGAATGATTGTGTGTAATTTGCTTTAGAACTTGACTGCCATTTACGTAGTTCCATGAAGTTGCATTGGGAATGTTGCCCAAAATAGAAAACTGATCCTTGTAAATCCCCAGAAAACAAATGAGAGGATCCGCCCGAGACTTGTCAACAACAAACTTGAGATACCGAGATTCAACTGTCGGAAACTGCAACAACCTTTGATGTCCAACCGTGGTGCCGTTAGTCACTCTCTTCCATCCACACTTATTTAAGATCTCAACATGGAACTCTACGATTCTCTGTCCCATATGAATTGGCTCCTGAACTTGCAAGACATTGAAACTTACCGTTCCCTGAAAGTCTAAACACAAGGTCCAATTGGATTGTTTCTCCTCTGGAGCCCAGTAAGTGTAAATGCCTTCTCCAAGAACATTTTGAGGACTGAATTGAGAATTACCATAGCCTCCCCTTGTGCTGCTGGCATTAACGATAGCATTCTTGGCCATATTATTGGAGAATATAGACCTCCGGAGCTCCTTGAATCCTTGAAGCACTTCTATATCCTCACTGGATATGAGCCCTGAAGAATTAGGAGGCACGTTTAGCAATAGCAGGCAGTTCCGGCCAACTGATTTGTAGTATATATCAAGAAGCTTCAATGGAGACTTTGGAATTTCGGATGCATGCCAAAACCAACCAGGCCTGATGGATACATCACACTCAGGGGGTACCCAGTCATGACCTAGTTCATCTCCTCCCTGAGCGTATCTGTTGAATTCAACCAATATAACTCAATGAAATAAAATATAGTTCATGGATGATCATAATAGATTAAGGGCAGAATTTTGTGATTGTTACCTCTAAAAATGCTAGAAAAGCCAGTCGAGTATGATTTAAGCAACAAAAATGGTTTTGTATATGAGGCAGGAAAGCATACTCACCTGGTATCAGTGTCGCCAATCTTTGCATTACTTCTGTTGAAAAGAGACCAACAAGTAGAGCCAGCAACACCAGCCTCGTCCCCAATCCACCTGGTATCAGGACCGGCATCGGAAAAGATTACAGCCCCCGGCTGGAGCTGATGGATGAGACTAAACCAAGAATCAAAGTAATACTCCATGTCCTTCTCTCCTTCCCCTTTTGCACCGTCCAAAAACACTTCCTTGATCTCTCCATACCTGTCTCAATTCGAAAGACAAACAATATATGTTCATTTCTCTCCAATTCCCAGTATTTTCTCAAACAATTCACAACTCGAAAAACCCACATTGGAGAAAATTAGCTAAAAACTAAGAACATTGTAATGGTCAAGAACAGAAACAATCAAGTTGAATCGATCAGAGCAAACTAATCAAATACATGTAGCTAGCAAGAACAGGAAATCAATTTATACCTAGTCAACAACTCAGTCATCTGCCCCATGTAGAACTCATTGTATTCCACAGTTTTCCCATACAACGCCTCATGCCTATCCCACGGGGACAAATACAGTCCCAACCCAATTCCACTCTCCTTGGCCGCCGCAGCCAGCTCCGCCACAACATCGCCGCCCCCGTTCTTCCACGGACTGGCCTTAACAGAGTAATCCGTATACTCACTGGGCCACAAGCAGAACCCATCATGGTGCTTAGCAGTGAGGATCACGCGAGAAAACCCAGCATCCTTAGCAACTCGGATCCACTGGGAGGCATCCAATAGGGTGGGGTTGAAGACAGAGGGGTCATCATGGCCAGAGCCCCATTCTGAATCGGTGAAGGTGTTGGGTCCGAAGTGGAAGAAAATAGCCATGGGGGGGAGTTGCCATTGAAGCTGGGAAGCAGAGGGGATGGGGAGAATGGGAAGAGGAGGTGGCTTCCGAGGAGCAGAAAGGGAAAGCAGTGGAAAAGACAGAAGAAAGAGGATCAGAATCAGGAATGTCATGATGAAGTGAAGTAGGAAAAAGAGTGTAACTTGTGTTAATTAGTTTGGAGGATCCTTTTGATACAGAGAATCAATGTCGGCCTCCTGAATTGCTTCAGGCAGGGACTGTTCTGTTCTTTCAAGTCTTCCCCTTCAGGAGGAAGGGAAACAGATGGAAGCGGAGAACAAAACAAAAAGAAAAGAAAGAGAATGGTGGTTGTTATGTTGTGTCGTTGATTAGTTTAGGACCTTTAGGTAATAATAATCCAGATGGAATGGGGGGTTGGGGGTGTAGGTGAGCTACAATTTATGGATTTTGTGGTGGGCTGAAGCCTGTAGGTGAAGCTCCATGGACTTGCATTCATGGGTTTCCACTTTCCACACTTTTAAGCCTGAAGGTAAAGGCACCCATTTAATTGATCAGTTAATATACTGTATATATATAGAGGAGTTAGTATTTATTTATCTTATTTAAAAAAAAATTAAGAGAAAAAAAGATAAAAAAAATACTTTAATTCATATTTTAAAAATATGATATTTTAGTTTTTTTTAATAAGTGTTTATTAAAATAACGTAGTTTTAGAATAATATTTTTCTTAATCTTTAAGAGGTAAGACAGATAAATAATATTTTCATATATATATATATATATATTTTACTTACCTCCAATGGTTGAAAATCACATTGTATCTTATTACTTTGAAGTCAAGTAGGATTAGATTTTATTAAAAAAAAGGTTCTTTCAACATTTGTTTATAAATTTATAAGATTTGAATTCAGAACCTTATTTAAAAAAAAAAATTTAATTTCTTTCACTCAGACTAACAGATTACTGATATAATAATTTTTTATTTAATTAAGTAATTAGAACACAGACCTCTTTGTTTTACTTGTTATGAATAGCTAATGACAGCATATAATTATTAATTGATAATTGATAAAATAATTAATATTTATTATTTTTTAATAAACGATTAATATTTATTACTTACATTTTAAAATCATCCTAGATGTGAGCTTTTGCATTATTTAGACTTCTACTAAAAGCTTATTAATAATATGTATGTATTGATTCTTGGATGTAAAGATTAAAGATGATTTTGCGAATTGGTGAAGGATGAATGAATGACTTGTAAGAAAGATTAGTGAATAAATGTAAAATGACTTGTAAGATAATAAACTTATAATTGTGACAGATACTTTCATGGTCAAGTCATAGTTGGGGCAGCTTTAAGTGGCCTAATCCCAAATTCCATTCCAACCCGGCCCAAAAAAATAAGAGTGCATGTAGGCAAGGCCCATAAAACCAATTTCCTCAAATTAAAACAATTTTTGTTTTTTTTCTTTTTCTTTTTGTCCGAAATTAAAACAATTTAATCTTAGCCTCTTCCCTAGAATCACATTGCCAAAAACTTTCTAGAGTTAGATGCTCTTGCCTTGCCTCATACTTCCACCTATAAATGTTTTTTAACTCAAAATTTATTCTAAATTAATAGTTGTTTTTTATATTTTATTTTTATTTTTTTTATTATTCATCTTATAAAAAAAGTCTCTTTTATTTTTATTACTTTTTAAAAGTAATATAAGTAAATATATAAATTATTTCTAAAGTTTTAATTTAAAAATAAAATTAAAAACCATCTATTTGTAAGCAAAGAGGGGGTAAAAAATGCATTTAATATCATATGTAATATCCTCTTTCACAATCTTAATATAGCAGCAATATGTATTCATTGGATTTTGAATATTTAATACTATAAAACTAGTGCACATAAAAAAAAAAAAAAAAAACTATAAAACTAGTGAAACTAGAACATGATCTCTAATGATGGTAATTTCCTAGTCTCGGAACTTGAAGGTTGTAAACAATTGCATGTCATATATATAGTTTAATTATCGTATGCTTATTGTGAAATTTAAATATACGATATAAAGTTGTGCTCTTTCACTATTTTCTCTCGCTTCTTATTACCTTTCCTCTGCGTTTCGTTTTTTTGTGCTCAAAAGCCCTTGGGTCTTTCGAGTTTTTGATGCTTGAGCTGCTAGGATCTCCGACTGCTCAAACATGGTGGAGCCAATTTCGTACTCCCTACTCTGATGACCCCTTTGTGGTCTATCGACTTTTGGGACCCCTTCTAGTGGTCCTTTTCTAGGTTTTTTGTTTTTCTAGTTTTGTTTTGTTTGTTTGATCTCAAATCCGATGGCGAACCAGTCCACCATGCAGATCTTAGGAGGCGGTCGCTGGTTTACCTAGATTTGGTGGCCATCGAGCCTCTCATGACGATTATGGGGGATGGTCACCACTTGCCTGGATCTTCCAGCCTCGGCATCCTGGAGACCAAGCGCAACTCCTACAAGAGTAGATTGAAGGGTGTCCAGTTATTTGGATCATTCAATCAAAGGAATCTATACAAACTTGTTCCTTCAAGGTTGTTCGTGTGTACTGTTCACCGCCCTTCATTATCACTATTGAACTAGGTTTACTTTGGATTTTCTCTCCAGCTGTATTTTATCTATTTGTTATTTACTCTTATCCTTAGGATAAGGTTTTGTTGTAGATGTCGTATGACGATGCTATAATGAAAAGATCTCCCTAAGTTCAAAAAAAAAAAAAAAAAGTTGTGCATGAATGTCATTTTCCACGTTTGTTATTGCATTTGAGAAATTTTTAAACCAATATTACCAACCAGGTTAACACTTAACACATAGACAATGTATGTGTGTGTATGTGTGTTTTTTTTTTTTTGTATTAATATTTTATTATTTGATAACCACATTGACTCTTAACTAATTTGGAATCGAGTCTCGTTAAATTTCATAAAGAAAAAAGCTCTCCTAACATTTATTTCTCTATTAACAATATTCAAATTTAATACATTACCTAAAAAGAATTAAATTTCTTTTACTCAAACTAATATATCATTGATAAACAATGTTAGTTGCGGAGAAGAGATGCCTAAATGGCATAAAAAAACAACATTGGTGTTACTCACCGTTTTAATAGTTAAATATTTGAGCTTTTTATTTAAGATTTTTAAATTTTAAATTTTAAATAAATAAATAAATAAATATTTTTTTAAAGATTATCATTTATTATATATCATACAAAATTACGTAAAAAAGTGACATTGGTAAATGCATCATTTCTAATGTCCTCGTCAAAAGATTTATTACTTCTTGATCCATA